TGTGCAATATTTAAATCAGACTTTAGCTGTGATGAATAAGTTTGCCTGTATTAGGGACTTCTCTCCCATAGGTCCACTGCATTCGTTCAAATCAGGAGATAAGGTGCTGCTCAAGATTTGGAGGACAGGATCCCCAGAAAGTCAACTAGAAGAAAAGTGAACTGGACCTTGGGATATACTCCTCACCACCCCAACTACAGTGAAGCTGGCAGGAATAAAACCTTAGATTCATCACACCAGAATAAAGAAAGCACAGAAAGAAGATCTGAAAGTCATCTTTGAAAAAATAGTGACGTATGTTCTCTTCATTACCTCCTGTTTGACCCCTTGTTATGGACAACTTATTCCATTCAAATGGGATGAAAACATCTGGGTATATTTGGGGAAAATGTCCTGAATATTTCTGACTTTTGTCTTGCAGGAAAAACTTGTGTAAAACAAACTTTCACTTCATGTCTTATAGGCGTCTGTGCCCCTTTGGAAAGCTTTAAAAACTAGACTATGTTTGAACATATTGAAAAGAAAATGGCCTACTCTGACATTTATAATTGGAGACCAGTGGTAAATATAAAAGATAGGGAAATGTTTTCATTGAAGGTTACTAATGTAACCCCAGCTAGAGAATATGTAATTTTTGTCAACTGCACTAACAACTGTCTTGTGCTCTCAGCAGGTGTGAAGATGAATTGCACCACCACCACTGATGTATCTTATGCTTATAGCCATGTTAAGCAGCCAGTAGGATGGTTCCTGATATGTGGAATAACAGTTTATTCTTATGTTTCAGCAAACAGCTCTGGGGGACCGTGCTCTCTGGGGAGACTGACGGTGTTTATGCCTCAGAAGTCTCACTTAACCCCGGTTTGACGGGATGTCTCCCTTGCACCTGATTGAATCAGTGATTTAAGCCTCTTTAGGCCTGCTGAATACGTGTCTTTAACTATATTTGTGATGCCAACCATGGTAACTTATTTAAATATAGAAATAAGCAAGTTAGTCTGGGCTATGGTGAAAGCCTTAAATGCCACCTCTCAAACTATTAGTGCCATTAGTCAAGAATTAGGACAAGTCAGAGAAGCAGTACTGGAAAATCGTGCAGCTATAGACTACCTTCTTTTGAGACATAGTCATGGATGTGAGGAATTTAAGGGACTCTGCTGTTTTAACCTAACTGATACTTCACAGCTTATAGAGCATAAAGTAAAGCAAATAAATTATGTGGTGTCCAATATAAAACAGGGAGAAGGATTCTCTGACATTGATTGGTCTAACCTGACCTGGCTGCCCAGCATATCTGGTCTTCGAGAAACTTTTATTGTTTTTATCCTTGTCATTTTCTTCAGTATCATAGCTTGTTGTTGTATACAGTTTGCCCCCTTGTGTAAGTCCGCAGTTTCGTGTATTCCTAAAACCCCCGCTGAACAATTGAGTGTCCAGCAACAGGCACGGCAACAAAGTGAATACTTCCATAGAAAGCTGATCTCATAGAAATGAGATAGTTTAATACTAATGGTGGGGAATGATAGGGGCTTAAGACTTGGGAAAATTTAGCTTAAGGTAAATAGTCATGAATCTAGTAAGTAATGTGTATGTTAAGTTTTTGTTTCAGTAACTACAGGTAAGGCCTATCTTTGAGCCTAAGAGTAAGCAGATGACTTCTTAGAGAAGCCTGTACCAGGAAGAAGCAAGTGACTACCCTTCCCCCTTGGAGGCAACTGTTGAATTTCAAAGGCTTTCGCTGACACCTTGTTTGCCCTCCCCCAACCCCCTTATAAAAGATCTGGCTGGGAAAGAAAGATTAAGATGGTTTGTTAGGGTAAGAACGTGCCATCTTCTGGGATCGCCGGCCATCTGAATAAAGCGCCTATAAAAGATTCGATCACTGTCATTGCTTATTGTATTTGGTAGTGACAGGCAGCCTGAACGCCGGTGTCTTTTCCGGTTACAGTAGGAAAACATAGAAGTTTATGGAATTCTCTTACCAACTACATCCTTATCAACTCTGGATATCAGCCTATGTAAATTTTGTCAGTCCGATAAATGAAAAATGTGGCTTATTGCTTGCATTTACAATTTCCTGATTACTAGATGATGTTGAGCATCTTTTCACATTGTAGGGAAAATTGAGTCAGTCAGGCTCCCTTACCCAGATGTCTGGGCAATTATGGTAAGCAGTATTCACATAACCTTGAACATGGATCCACATGTCCAGAGTCACGCTTTTTTGTATAATATTTTGGCACCCTGCTGGCTTTTTGTGCACTTAGTATATAAGGGAGTCAGGACTTGCTGCGGCTTGACACGCAGCTTGCAGCATGCATGGATCACCCCACTTAAGAATAATGGCATGTCAGACACCCCAGTGGCTCTGCAAATTTTCCTCTATCTGCCGGAATCCTGAGTGAATCTGCCCAACCTTGAGCTGCTACAAGACAATTGGCTTAGCTGGCAGTATTCATCGCAAAAATGCTATGCAGCCATTAGCACCCCAAGAGCAGGGCTTGGTTGGGTGGCCAGCCACCAGCATGTAGTATTTGGTGGCAAGTGTCCTGGCCGTGTGGGCCCCAGCCTCCAGAATTGGCTGGATGTTAGTTGTGCACCTGACACAGTAAAGAAGGCCCTACAGGTAGTAGGGGAGACCCTAGAGAAGCCAAGTGCCCTGGCATCCAGGGTGCTGTGGGCTGGGTGTTTCTTATGGCTTTGTGAGCTGTAATGGAAACTGTACTTTGTGATGGGGCGAAACTATGATAGCTTTGTGAGGGAGCAGAAGCCTTGGAGGCTGAGGAGGAAGAGACTGGGCTTCAGAACAAAGGTGAAGTTCCAAGGGCTCTGAGAGGGGGCGGAAGCCCTGGAGGCTCTGGTTCGTGCCCTGGAGGAAGAGGTCTGGACAGGGGGAGCTGCAGCGATCCCCTCCATCTCCCCAATTGTAGTGAACAGTAGGGTGAAGGAGGGAGGAAAGCAACGGAGTTCCCTGTGGGCTCACCCAGTAGCAATACAAAAGATGAAATGGCAACAGCTTATTGCACCAGGGAGGAGCTGAGATCTGCAAAGCCCGTGGCCCCCTTCCCCTCCACCACCCCACACAGACTTGGAATAAAGTTGCTAAGAGGGACTAGGCCAGAGGACTTCAGCCCAGGTCAGGTGCTCTGGCAGCAATGGTGGAGCTGGATGGTGGAGCCCATGGCAGCAGCCAGAGCTACAGAGGTGGTGACAGTGTGGCCCAAGGGGATGCAGCAGCAGGTGGGAGGGACGGTGTCCCTCAGCCAAAAAGTGAACTCTTATGGGTAACTAGGACCCAAAAGAAGAAAAAGGTGACCAGGAAACTCGGTGGTGTGCTATGAGAGGCTTATCCTGTGCACATGGAGGACCATATGGCTGTGCCAACCCCCTGAGAAGAGGAGGAAATACCCTTTAAACATTTGAATAGGGGAAGGACCAAGGAACCTGTTTACAGGGAATGGATGGGGATTGAAGGCCACATGTGGAATTGGCTATACATTGGTCTCCCTACAAATATGTAGCAGGTCCTGACTTTAGTAGACACGGGCAAAATGTAATCTCCTGTATGGAAACCCAGACAAGTTTCTGAGGCCTGAGGCCTCTATTAATAATCATTGGAAGTGCGGTATAAAGGTAAAGACCATGCAGCTTGCCCTGAGTTTTGGGCATTTGTACCCCACCATTAATATACTGTTAGGTGTCCCTCATTCCTAAGTATATCCTGGGTCTCTTGCAGGGCGTGTTGAAGCTGCTTGTGGGGGCCTGCTGAGGCTCTTTGTAGGGTATGCTGAGCATCCCCCTGTTCAATTGCCGTCCCCACGAAGGGTGACAGCAGTTAAACAGACACAATCTGGCTTAACACTGAAGTAGGTTAAAGTAGCCAGTGGGTAGAACAGTGAGCCATGTGGCTCATGGCTGCAAATGAAGAACCACCCCTGACTATTTGCACAAATAGTTGGGTGGTATACCAGGGACTAATGTTATCAATCTCTACATAATATGGATATAGAGATTGCAAATAAATGGATGGTTATGCATAGACCATTATGGGGGCAAGACTTGTGGCAAGGCCTATGGGAATTAGGCCACCAGAAATAAATCGTTGTATATCAGGTGACTGGGCATGCACCCCTTGCTTCCCCTGGGAATGATGAGGCTGACATGCTAGCCAAGGTGCGATGGCTGGAAATGGTGCCTTCCAGCACAACAGGAAACATAATAGCCCAGTGGCTACACTGTTGCCTATTACATGCTGGGCACAAGACCATGTGGTCCACTATAAAAGCTTGCGAGTTACCTGTCACCTTAGCAAAGGTACAGAAATCTTGTCAGACCTGTGGTGCCTGTTCACAAAAGCATCCCCAGAGGCCTGTGGGGGCTGCCAGGTGGGTGCTGTGGGGATAAGTACTGCTGACCCAATGTCAGGTTAATGTGGTTGGGCCCCTGCCTAGTTCTACCCAGGAAATCACAGGGTCAACGGACCCAGTGGACAGCTACAGACTACTAGTGTACCACCAACCTGTACCTATACCTAGGGGTATAAGTATGTGGTCATGTGTGTGGGTACGTGCTGCCTGGATCAAAGGGTGGTGGTCACTGCACTGGAGTGCCTGTGCACTGCCTGTGGGTGACCCTTAATTATTGAAAGTGGGCCAGGGATGCACTTTGCTGAAACCAGGCATGGGAAAACAAGGAAATATTTTTTTCCCCCTCACTTGAGGTCCTGGAGCAAGGGCAAACAGCCACTTGGACATGGCCTTGGGAAATAAAAGTCCCCCACATGCTTTGGGTGGCTCTTGTTGCCCTTTGGGGGCAAGAGGTAAAAAGAAACTTAAAAATAGTGTCCTGGGTAATTGGGTATTTGTGCCCAGGAAGGCCCCTTCTGCCAACTACCATCTTGTCATCTTGTCAATGGACCAGAAACTTGCTTGTATATTGCCTAAGGGTTGTAATTTGCTATTGTTGGTGCCTATAACTCTGCTTTGTCTTTTCACCCCTAGGCTGCAAAGTAACACCTTAGTGGACTGGGTACATACCTATGCCTCAGTGGCTAACCAATCAGCATGCCGGGTCTGCACTGAAATCCCCCTGAGTACACCTACTGGCCTCCCATGGCGCATCTCTCTAACTTCAGTCTCAAATTGGAGTTGGTTACAGCACCAGTGGAACAGTGCACATTCTTTGCATAACACAACCTGGACTGACATCTACACTGGGGCAGAGCAGCAGTGTGATTGGCCCCAGCTGGTAGTTGGCTACTTCATATGGGATGACTTGGGGTGGCTCCTGGCTGAGGCATAGAGTTGGCTGGACCAGCCCCCCCTTGGTATTGAGAGCCCTAAAGTACAAGCCCAAGTGGGATGGACTCCAATAAATCTGTGTCAGAAGCATACTCTTATGCATTACTGGGAGGCATGAAATAACTCATGGACTGCACTTCCTACTGGGGCCCTCTGGGTGTGTGGTTCAAACGGATGGCCTAACCTACCTGGAAATTGGACTGGCCGTTGTACCTGAAAATGGCCCTATTTGCCTCCTGGAGTTCAGAAAACTCTTGCAATCCGGCCAACCAATTGGGAAGCATTTAGAGCATGATACTGTGTAAAGCATGCTCCCTGGTGGTCTTACCCATTAGTGATTTTTTCTCTTCAAGCTGCTTCTTCAGTCACTAAAATTGAAATAACAGCTTTGGCTTTGCACACTGCTCATGCGTTGAATGCAACACATAATTTTCTCAACTGCTTGAATGAGGAAGTGTATCAATTAAGAAAAGTAGCCTTACAAAATCGTATGGCCTTAAATATATTCACTGCATCACAGGGTGGGGGATGTGCCCTAGTAGGGGTTGAATGCTGTGTATACATTCCAAATGTCCATCATAATATTAGCCAAGCTCCATGGGCATTAGCTTCTAAAACCCATGCTATGGAACACCTGACAGGTAATCCCTGCAGGAATGGTAGTTAGTGGTTCCTTGCTGTCTTGGGTGGCAGTGCTTGTGTTCTGGTTGCGTGCTGCTGCAGCATTTGGGTGTAGGGCTCTGCCCTCCTCACCAAAGGACCCTCATAGAAGACACCCTCATGTAGAATGTACAGCAAGGAACCCTGAAGGGGTAAATTATGGGGAAAATGAGGTCTCTCAGGCTCCCTCACCCTTATGTCCAGGCAACTATGATAAGCAGTACTCACATACCCTTGAGCATGGGCCTGCATGTGCAGAATCACACTTTGTTATATAATATCTTGGCAGCCTGCCAGCTTTGTGTCCATTTAGTATATAAGGGAGTTGAGACTTCCCCCAGTACAACACTAAGTTTGTGGTGTGCGTGAATCACCCCACCTCAAAATAAAGGCATGTCAGACATCCCTATGGCTCTGAAGTTTCTTCCATCTGCCTGAATCCCATGTGAATCTGCCTGGCTTTCAACAGCTGCAAGACATACGTGTTTATTGGCATTTTTGTATTTATTGTGAAATATATATTCATGTGTTGTTGAATTTTTTCTTTTGTTTGTCTCTTTCTGATGTTAGTAGTTTTATCATGTTCTTGTTATTAATCCAGAACATGTTTTGTTCATGTGAAAAAGATTTATCTCCTAGTTATTTCTCATCTTTTAACTTTGTCTATAGTGTCATTTAGCATATATTTTAGTAATGTTAAACATGTTAAGTGATGATGTTTTAATAAGAAATTTAGCAGTCCTTTTTTGGTGACTATTGCATTTGTAACTTTGCTTAAGGCCTTCTATACCACCAAGATATCATTTGGATTTAAGTTTATATGTTGGGAGGTATCTAATTTTATTTTTTCCAAATGTATATCTACTTTTTCCAAAATGATTTGTTCAAGTAGTTTATTTTTTCCTATAGACGTGATATATCATTTCAACTATATATGCCCTTCCCATAGAATAGAACTTTTATAGAATTCCCACATAGAAATAGATTCACATGGATCTATTGCTTGCTTTATTTTTCCCACCAATTTGTTCATTTTTATACAAATAACACATGCATTTTAAATTTTGATAGGCACTTATTGTTATTCATTTAAAAATTATCCTAATTATACTTATATACTTTCTCTTTAGAATCAGCTTGTAAAGTTCTACAAAAAGTCCTCATGGCATTTGATTGGGATTATATTGTGTTTAATTATCGATTTGTGAAGATGCCATATCTTCACAACACTAATTTTTTTTACTTATGAACATGGCATGTTTATATAATTGTTTATGTTTTCTTTTATACCACTCAGTAAAACTTTATACTGTTCTTCATGTACAGTCAATGTGTGACTTAATTGGATTTTTAAGGTATTTTATGGTTTTCATTATTTATATTTTGTATTTAGTTATTGCTGGAGTAAAGGTAAGCAACTCATTTTTATAGACTAGTTATATAGCCAACCACCAAACTGAACCCTCATTAATTCTAATACTTAATTTTCTAAGATGTTTGGAAATATTATTATATAAGCCATAAATAAAATAATGGTAGTTCTGTTTTCCTGTTTCTAATTCTTAAAACTAAATTCTAATTCTTGCTTTGCCTGGGTTAGATTTGAGAACATAACACTGACTAATACAATGATAGCAAAAAGCCTTGCCTTGTTCCTGACTTTAGTGCAAAGCTGCCAGTATTCTACCATATCTTGCGCCGTTTGCATTCTTACACTTTTTGCATTTAACAAAAGTTTCTTGTACTAATTTGCTAAGAGTTTTTACCAGTGGTAGGTATTCAGATTTATCGAATATTTTTGGAGATGCCATAGGAGTTTCTCCCCTTTAATCTGTTACTACTGATGGATTTTCTAATGTTGAACTATCCTTGCATACTATGATAGATTCTACTTGGCCATGATGTTTGTTTTTTTGACCTACTGTTAGATTTGGTTTGTTAGCCTTTTAGGATCTTTACACCTATTTTCACAAATGAGATAGGCCTATGTTTTATTTTGGTTTATGTTTATGATATCCTGAGCCAGTTTCAATCCTAAAATAGAGAATAAGTTGGGACTATTGTTTTCTTTGACTTTGCTCTGAATATGTGGCATTAAGTTGGACTTAACCTAGTCCTTAAAGCTTTGATAGTATTGGCCCGAGAGACCAGAAGATCCTTAGATCTGATCTGCAACATAACTCAAAGTTAAACTTTAAGCTGATTTTTGTTTTTATCTGTGATTGTTGTTCCTCTCAAGTTTTCTGTTTCTTTGGTCAATTTTAGTACTTTGTCTCTTTTATAGAAAATCATATATTTTATGTAGATTTTCATTTGGGGGGAATATAATACCATATATAATATTCCCTATTCCTTTATACTAAAACAACATCACCAGTAACTGTAGTTTTGTTAGCTTTTTATACACATTATAATCAATTGTGACTCTGCTTTTTTTAAAATCAGATTTGCCATCTGTTACGGATTGAATGTTTGTGTACTACCTCCCCCCAATTCATATGTTGAAATCCTAGCTGCCAAGGTCATGGTATGAGGAGAGGGAATCTTTTGGAGGTAATTTGGTCACGACAGTAAAGCCTTTATGAATGGGATTAGAGCCTTTATAAAAGAAACTTCATAGAGCATTCTAGCCCTCTTTCTGCCATGTGAGGATACAATGAAAAGTAGGCAGTTTACAACCTGAAAGAGGGCCCTCACCAGAACTCAACCATGCTGACATCTTGATCTTAGACTTGCAGCCTCCAGAACTGTGAGAAATAAATATCTCTTGTTTATAAGTCACCTAGTCCATGGTATTTTGTTATAGCAGCCTAAGACACAGTCGTAATATATATTTTTAAATTTTTAAGTCAGTCTTTTCAAAGATCCTAATCCTAACTGATATAAAATCTCTACTCAAATCTGGGAGGGTATGATGATCACAGTCTAAAACAATTCCTCTTCATCCCTAATCTGTCCCCTTTTCCTGTGTGTATTTTTTTGAAGCAGTTTAAGCAACTGCCATTGTTTATTTAGTTGTTCAGTTGTTTATTGTCCCTTTGCCTTCAGTAAAATATGTGATGCTCTCTGAAAGCAGAGACTTTGTTTTCTTTGTTGCTGAATTGCCAGTTCCTAGAATATCACTTGGCACATAGAAGGTAAACACTAAATATCTGCAGAAGTTGTTGATTGAAATAGGTATTCTTCTTTTGAGGTATTATTTTGCTTACTCTATTGACTTTATTTTCTAAGCATTAGTTCTGCTTGTTGAGTTGAGCATTTCATCTTCTTAGTTTCATCCTCACTACCTTCCTGAAACTGGTCTTACTGTGGTGACCAGGCAATTTCACATTGCTAAATCCAGTGGTCCATTCTTATCCTCATGTCACTCAACACAGTGAATCACACCTTATCTTTTCCTTGGAACACTTCACCTACTCGGCTTCCAGAATCCCACACTCTCCTGATTTTCTACCTACCTGTTTGGCTATTCCTTTTCAATCTCTTTTGTAGGTTCTTCCTTATACCTCCTGATCTCTAATCCTTAGAATGCCCCATACTCAGTTCTTAGACTTCTTTTCTATCTACTCTCAATATCAACTCTCTGCAGATAGTTCCTAAATTCATATCTCCTTCCTTAACCTCTCCCCAGAGCTCTAGACTTAGAGAAGCAACTATCTATTCAATATTTGCCCTTGGATGTTTGATCGATATCTCAACTCACCATGATTAAAACAGAACCCTGAGATACTCCCTAAATCTGCTGTACAATCCTTCCTATCTTATAAATGGCAAGCTCATTCTTCTCTTTACTCAGGCCAAAATCTTCAACTGTATCTCTGACTCTCCTCTTTCTCTCATACTCCCCATCAGTAAATCCTGTTTGTTCTACCTTCATAATATATCCAGAATTCTCCCACTTCTCAACACCTCCATTGCTACCACCCAGTCTAACTCAATTCAACATCACATTAAACTGGATTATTACAATAGCCTTTTAACTGGTTTCTTTGCTTCTGTTCTCATTCTCCTCCTCCTCCTCCTTCTCCTCCCCCCGCCCTCCTCCTCCTTCTTCTTTCCTCACCTGGATATGTTTTATTGATTTTAGAGAGAGGAAAGGGAAGAGAGAGAGAGAGAGACCTCAATGTGAGAGAAAAACATCAATTGGCTGCCTCCTAGGGATCAAACCTGCAACCTAGGTATATGCCCTGACCAGAAATAGAAACCTCAAACTTTTTGATGTACAGGTCAATGCTCCAACCAACTGAGCCACCCAGCCAGGGCTCTGTCATTCTTAACACAGCCTTCTAAGTGACCCTATTAAATTATGATTCAGTATATGCAACTTCTTTGTCAACACTCTCAATGTCTTCCCTTCACTCGCATAGTAAAGCAAAGTTGTTATGAAGGATTTTGTAGAAATCCTTTAATATCAGGATATCCTTTAATCCTTTAATATCCTTGTTTGTGCTTTCTGACTTCAACCCTCCACTCTCCCCTCACTTTCTCTGCTCTCACCAGGCAGCCTCCCCTATCTTCCTTAAACAAACCAGGAATACCCCATTTACACATACTCGTCCCTGTGTTTAGAGTGCTCTTCATTTAGGCATCCAAATTGCTTGCCCATCACTTCCCTCAATTATCTACTCAGATATTACCTTCTTAGTGAGGCTGTCCCTGATCACCTTGTCTGAAATTACCATACACACCTCTATCCTTCCAGTTTTCTTCTCCTTTTTATTTTTCTCTATAGCATTCATCATCACCTAACAGTATATTTTTCACTTATTTATATTTTTTACTTTCTCTTTTTCCCATTTGAATATAACTCTACAAGAACAGTGATTTCTATCCCCCCCCCCCCCGACTTCTGTATTCCAGTCCCTATACAAGTATTGGCATATGGTAGGTTCACAATAAGTATTTGTTGCATAAATAAATGAATCAGATTCCAAACAGTTGGTGGGAAGACACTGGGTGTAGACATGATGCCTAGAGGGCAAAAACCGTTTTGTGAACAGGATCACCAAAGCCACATACTGAGGGCAGCTTTGTGAAGAGTGTGAACAAATGTGGGTTCCATTTGTCCACCGTACCAACCCTGAACTGACTGCCTCTAGACTGCATGTTACAAAACAAAAAAAAAAATAAATATTTTTTTGGTAAAGATATTGTTGTTGGGTGACTTTTGTGTGCATCTAGATGCAGTCCTGGGTAATACCAATCAGTGATCCAGAAAGCTTAACTATTCTGAGGGTTAAAAGAAAATTGGAACAGAATTCCCCTGGGAACCCAATAATTCAATGACATGATGTTGAAAAGGATCCCTACAAGAGGCTGAGAAGGAGTAAAACATGGGAGAACCTCCAGAAGCAAGTGAAATCCTGGAGCCAAGAAAGAGTGCTTCAAGAAGGGTGTGGTCAATAAGCTCAAATTTTGATGAGAGGTCCCCAAGAAGGGGGATGGGATATTGAACCGAGAACACAACAGACTGAAGTTGAGAGAGCATCTTTTTTCAAGTATACTGTATTGATTCTGCTATTACAGTTATCCCATTTCTTTTCTCCCTTTTTTCCCCCTCAGCCCTGCACACCCCTCTTTCCAATGTCCCTCCTCCCCCAGTTCATGTCCATGGGTTATACATATAAGTTATTTGGCTTCTCCATTTCCTATACTATTCTTAACTTCCCCCTGTCTATTTTGTACCTATCACTTATGCTTCTTATTCCCTGCACCTTTCCCCCCATTCTCCCCCTTCCCTCTCCCCGCTGATAACCCTTCATGTGATCTCCAGTTCTGTGATTCTGATCCTGTTCTAGTTGTTTGCTTAGTTTTTGTTTTTGTTTCTAGGTTCAGTACTGATAGCTGTGAGTTAGTTTGTTGTCATTTTACTGTTCATAGTTTTGGTCTTATTCTTTTTCTTAGATAAGTCCTTTTAACATTTCATATAATAAGGGCTTGGTGATGATGATGAACTCCTTTAACTTGACCTTATCTGAGAAGCACTTTATCTGCCCTCCATTCTAAATGAAAGCTTTGCTGGATAGAGTAATCTTGGATGTAGGTTTTTGCTTTTCATGATTTGGAATACTTCTTTCCAGCCCCTTCTTGCCTGTGAGGTTTCTTTTGAGAAATCAGCTGATAGTTTATTGGGAATTTCTTTGTAGGTAACTGTCTCCTTAACTCTTGCTGCTTCTAGGATTCTCTCCCTGTCTTTAATCTTGGGTAATGTAATGATGATGTGCATTGGTGTGTGCTTCCTTGGGACCAACTTCTTTGGCACTCTCTAAGCCTTCTGGACTTCCTGGAAGTCTATTTCCTTTGCCAGATTGGGGAAGTTTTCCTTCATTATTTGTTCAAATAAATTTTTAATTTCTTGCTCCTTCTTTTCTTCTTCAGGCACCCCTATGATTTGGATGATGGAATGTTTAAGGTTGTCCCAGAGGTTCCTAATCCTCTCCTCGTTTTTTTTTAAATTCTTGTTTCTTCATTCTGTTCCAGTTGAATGTTTATTTTTTCCTTCTGTTCCAAATCAATGCTTTGA